GCCTCAGGGGGCCCCGCGCCCGCCGACCCCTCTGTTGCCTCGCGCTCGGCGGCTCTCTCAGCAGGCGCGGCCCGGGGCGCTGCGGCGCCAGCCTTTGCGGCCGCCTTGGCTGCTTGATATGCGTGGATTGCCGCCTTCGACTCTGGGGGAAACTCTGCCTGCACCAGGCCCCAGGTCGAGCCCGGCTCCTCCACCGCCTGCCAGTAGACCCACGCCGTCGGCAGCAGCGTCGCCAGGTCGCGCTGGCGTGCGGAACAAAAAACAGGGAGTGTGGTGCGATCGGGTGTGTTGGAGCGACGGGCGGGTGTTTCGGGCGTTTAGGGAGGGGCGTGCTTGCTCGTGCTACGGGGTTTCGGGGCTGTTGGTATGCACGCCATCCGGACAAGCCTGTCTTGTCTGCGCGATTACCCACCCCTACTCAGCCCGCCAAACGCCTCTGGTCGGCCCCTCTGCCCCGTATCTGCCCCCAATCATCCCCTCAGGCCCTCAGCCTCTCAGCTCCTCAGCGGCCCCAGCAACTCAGCCCTCAGCCCTCAGCCTCATCCCCCCACACACACACACACGCGCGCGCGTGCGCGCGCGCGCGCACAAGCAGACGCACCATAACGTGCCGCGCCAGCGGCTCCGCGCCCTTGCCCGTCCCAAACTCAGACACCCAGACATCTTTCTGAGCGTGCGCCGCGCGCCTCCTGAGGCTGGCCCGCTTGAACCTGGTGGGCAGAGGAAACGGGGTGTGGGAGGGTGAACGGCGGCGTGGCGGGGGCCAGCGCTTGCCAGGGGGTGGGCGCTGCGCAGGGCCTTCCAGGTTTGGGTTCAGAGGCACCTGGGCAGACGTGCAGACGAAGCAAGGGCCGCTGCTCGTCCGTTTGTACACAGCGGGGCAGTAATGATGACACAAAAGTGGCCCGCCGAGAAAGCCTGGGGCAGGTGATGGGAAGGTATCACAAGATACAACAGCACAGGCATGAGTATGTGAGCGCCTCACATGTTGTCCTGAGTCTTGGTCACGAAAAAGGGTACCTTGGACCCCAAGAACTCTGATAAATCGTAGGTGTGGGTGTTGATCTGGCAAGGCCACAGAGCGAATGATGAGAGTCAGCCGTCATGTAGAACAGGGGCCCAGGGACGTGCTTTTATTGCGGCACTGTGCCCCGTGGGACTCTGCTGCCCAGCAACTGGCACTAGAGGGCTGCTGCAGAGCGGTGAGACCCTGGTGGGCCCCAAACCAAATGTGGCCGGCGGGGCCAGTGCGCCCACCTTGCCGATTGCGGGCCACAGTGCTGCTGGCGTCTTGCGCACATCTTTGTTTGCGTCAGAGATGCAAAACTGCTCGTGGGCTGACACCTGCAGGTCAACGGGATTGGTGTGTATGCGTGCGTGTGTGTGTGTGTGTGTGTGTGTACGTGCGTGTGTGCGTGCGTGCA